AAAAATGTATTTTGAAGAATGGAAACCTCACCAGAGCAGTGTTACTATGAGAAATCTTTAGCATGAGAGCAGCGACCTCCAGTTCCCTGCACCTCAGTGAGCTTTGCATGATGAGTGAAGTTAACTCTGCTGCCTGATTTAGGGACAATACAGGTTACAGCTCGCATGTAGATGCAAGTTAAGATCAGTATTTAACTCCAGGAAAGCCAACTTTTACTTGCTGTCTCCTAGTTCTAGTTGTATTCCCTCCAATGCAACTAATAATAATTTAAAAATTTTTTTCCTGACAACTTTTATCTGGGAGTCTTGATGTACCTTACAGACTGATGCTCTGAGCTTCCCAGCCTTCCAGTAAGAGACATACTGTCTGACGCAGGGACAATGACAAGCACAGGGACTGCAATGGGATATTCTGAGCCAATGGGTTATTCTGAGCTGCTGCATTTTTATAGTAATAGAGACCTACACCTACCTATGCAATGATTTTACTTCAAGAACCATTTGTAATAGCAGGGAGGTTAAAAAAAAAAAAAAAGAAAAAAAAGGATAAAAGCAGCATTTAATTTTCATAATTCTCCTCATCCCTTTTCATATTGTATTATTAAATGCATTTCTAAGGCTTTCTCTTGAAGGAGGAAAGAAGACATTCATTTTAAGCTATTATTTCATACTTTCATTAGCTACTGATTAAAGTACTTTTAGAGTGATTTATGACATCGTTATTTCAAACTCCTACAAGAAAGGTGGGCCTGAAAAAGCATCTTGTTGTTTGAAGATTGTGAGATTTGAGCTGTGATGGAAGAGAATACAATTGTCTTGGATCTTTCAAGGAGAACAACTTTCTCCATGTCTCATGAGTTCAAGTATTAATTTTGTTTTCTGGACCATTTCCTCAAATGCTGCTAATGTGGTGAGGTATGGAAAAAAAAAAAGTACTGAGATAATGGGCCCTAATTTCTTCCTTTAAAGAAAAGGACAAAAATAAGCAGATAGGTTCCAGAACTTGAATGTGATGTCTTCTTAGAAGGCAGACACCAGCACTGTGTATCAAATGCAGTTTCTGAATGGGTGTTGCGTGTTGCAAAAGTCCAGTCTGGAAAAGTATATTGAATAAATCACCTTTGGTAGCTGGGTTAGACAAAAATGTCCCCAGTGATCTGGTTAGTAAAAGGTGGAAGGTGGCACTGCTGCTGCTGTTTGGCTCTGCAGAATAAAGAGCAGCTCTATGACTAATCATCATTCTGGCTGAAAACAGGATCTGAATGAAAATGACATTACAGTTTCAGGCAGTTTCTTATAATTTTTCCTGTCCTCAACCTATGTTGCGTCAGTCCAGTGGGATTGCCCTTAAGTAACCTGCTTGTTTGGTTCAGGTCCTCATTTCACAGGAAGACTTATGCAGCATCAGCAAAACTTTATTGTCCATATTTGCATAGAACTAGATGCAGAGTCAAGGTTCAGAGAAGAGCTGGAAAGTATAACAACTTAATATTCCCCAAAGGTCTCACATTTATGAAATGACAAATCTGAGCCCTTTGAGAGTTTGCAGCTTGGACAGACGGTGGGGAAATGAAGCAGCTGCACATCACAGCCTTCAGAGTTCTAGCATAAAAGTGAATGGAGCTGTCTTCAGTGACATTTGTTCATTTCTGCCAGATGTGAAGGTGCATGGGAAGTTCCTTTGATCAGCAGTTAACTGCTGATGAATACTCTGCAGAGATTGATAAGGCTGTGTGACACTGGGTAAATGTTCTGAGGAGATCATGGATCCATGTACTCCCCCAGAGCACAGATTGGGGATTCAATCAAGATGAACTCTACCTTCTCTGCAAATTTGTCCAACAAAAAGGAGTCTGAATCCAGATATAGTCCCTGAGAGCATTAATATCCCTGTTTTCCCTCTCACCTTTCCCACTTGTCACGCTCCAGGCATTTCTTTTTGTTCTTTGTAAATAGTTTGGGGCAGAGGGTTCATCTGTGTACATGAACATATATATATACAAGCTATCACATGTACCCAGGCTGCTGGATGCTTCCAGTATGTTGGGAGGCATTAGCAAACTAGAGAATCCCTGAAGGCTTTCACCACTCAGCAAGGCAAGGCACAGTCCTATCCTTGACAGACTTGCTTCTCAGAGGACTGGTCCTAAGTCAATGAGAGTTCCTCATTCCATTATCTTTTTGTCAGAGAAACTCTTCCAATAGTTTACAGTCCCCCCTGCAAACCAATGTGTAAAGCTGCAGCAAAAGCCACCGGTATTTGGATGAAGGGAAGATCATTTCTGCAAGTTCAAACTGCAAGAACCCTGCACTGAAAGCAAAGTCGGTTCAGCGTTCAAAGGAGAAATGGAAGAAATTATTTGTCACAGTTACATTCAGACCTATTTGCTTGCCACTTGTTGCTCAACACCCCTATGCATAGTCTAGCTAGTGCCACTAGCAAATGCTGAAAACTTGTGGTGGCAAAGTTCAAGAAACTGTTTGAAAGCTTGTCCTTTGACAGCAGATGGCTGTAGTGCTTCAGCCACCGGATGATCTGTGTTGTAGTGAAGTGTTCTTCATCTGGGTTTCCATGCTATCCAAGTAGTGAAGTTTCTTAAGAACATGCAGATTTTGTCGGAGACCCAGTCAGTCAGTCAGAATTTGTAATCCCAGTGGCTGAACCATAATACGTGTTTTTACTCCAGGTATGACAAAGATCCAGTCCAGTTTGTGTCCATATGAGTGGCACTGGAGAGACTGCATGGGAGACTGGGATTGCCTTGTATGTGAAACCACTGCTTGTGAAGACACTAGCTCATGTTTTAACTAGGACCTGTGCGAAGAATGTCACAGTGCAAGGAAGGTGAAAAGGTGGCACACACCTCTACTGATCCTGTCCTATATTAAGTAGTGCTTTGCTTTACTGTGATTCCGGCTGTTTGTCTTTAGTGGAAACATGGAGCTGAGTGAGTCAGAAGTAAGCTCTCCAGTGCGGAGATCTCCCGAGTCTTTAAAGACTATGAATGTCTCCTTTGTACTTCTACCCTGCAGCCAGACTCCCTTCGTCAGAAAGTTCAGTGACTGTCACGGAAGGTAGGGGTTCTTGCTGGTCATTTAGTTCCATGTTTGCACGTAACTGAAGGTTACATACTTTGAAAGGTAACAGATAAAATATGACACAGGACTTATGTTGTGCATATTATGGTATAACAAACCTGTGGAACTTGCTACTGAAGGAGACAGGGGAAACAATGGTGTCCAAGAAACTTTTGAAAAGTACAGAAATACAAAGAGAAGAGATAGGTAACAGGTGAGCAGCACAACTTGCAACACTTAGTTTTGCAGGGCTTTGAATTTTATTGTTCCTTTCTGATTCCATATATATGTTTCCCCTCAACTTCCCTACTCCCTCAAGCCCTCTACTACTGTAGTTTGCCATGAACTGCCTAAGAGACTACATGTACTGCAAGCGAGTGTGCAAAAGCCTAAAGCTAGGCAAACACCGACTGCCCAGCTAGCTGCTGCCTCCTGGATGCCAGGCAAACCAAACAGCCTGCGCTTCCTTGTAGCTGCTGGCAGGCCAAACAAATAGCTTCAGGAGGTGCAGTCAACCCCTGGGCCATGTCCTGTGGCGACCTGTTGTAGGAACTTGCGGTGTTAAAGCCCTTCAGCCCCTTGTCGGATGTGACTAAAATTGTCCAAGAGTCAGAAGTTAGTGGGAGAGGGAGGACTGGCAGCTGACAGCAATCACAGAAGCCCTTCCCCTGGCTAACCATGACATGAGTAAGCATGAGTCATAGCATAAATTGATGAGCCTAAAATTATCTACAAGGATGAATACTGTCTAACTAGCCCAACACATTATGGGCTTTCTGCTTACTCTGGAATTGGCAGATTTTGGCTTTGGGTGCAGATAGGCTGACTGCTTGACTCTAGGCCAATAGTAGCCTGACAGCTCCAACTGCCTTTTTTTTTTTTTTTTTTTTTTTTCCAAATATTATTCCATTCATGGTAACACCATTCCTTTCCTCTAGGCATTACTGATTTGGTGCTGAAGCTGGTATTTTTTCTCCTGGCAGCTCCTTACCCTCTGGCATTGAATCCAAGCTGATGCTCCAGCCCCCTCCCCTCCGGCATTGTTCCCAAGGCTGTTGTGTCAGACAGAAAACAAATACTTAGTGGCTCAGAGCTCCTTGCATCCAGGAGAAATTGCATTTTCACACTGGCTCTGAACCTCCTCTGCAGAGCCAAAGCAAAATTAATGCGGAAACTAATCCCTTTGCCCCTACCACGCACATCCTCTTCAATGGTGGAGCCAAGAAAGACTGAAGAGAATTAACCTTTTCTGTAAATGTCTCTGAGATAGGAAATACCCTGCTTTTCACTTTCTCTTCCTCCTCTTTCCCAGTTGCTGCATCAGGGAAACCAGTCTTCCCTGGAGCAGGAAAGTGCCTTCTTCCTCTTCCCACTACTAATGCTATGAGTTTATTTTAAGAAGAAATTTCATACCTATGCAGGATTGCTATAGCTAGTCTTGGCTCTCTATAGCTATTAGCTATACCAAGTAGGTGGCAGAGCTTGTTAGAGTAACTGCTGCCCACTCAGAAGCAGCCAAGAATAGCTGTAGCCTCTCCTAGGGATCAAGAATACAAGTCTGTAGCTCCAAGGGTCCCTTCCTGTGACGCATACGACATTACCATCATAGCCATGGGAATATGCTACTGTGTGAAACTAGACAAAAACATCTGGAAATGAGGGCAGCCTGTAATGCTGAATTGACAAAAGAAGAAAGGGCATCAAGGTTTCTGGTCTCCCCAACTTCCAGAAAGGGCATCAAGGTTTCTGGTCTCCCCAACTTCCCTCTTTTCACGTGTCACAAACTCCAATGCAGCCTTGTGCACTGTTAACTGTTCAGGCAGAACCCACCGCAGTCCTTCTCCCAGCTTAGGGACAGCTTGCACCAGGAACGCTTCCTCTTTCTCCTCTAATGTGACTCATTAGCACATGTTCTTGCACAGGCTCCTGGACTGTCCAGCTAGAGAAGGGAGGCACAGTGGTGGTGCTGCGGAGCCTGCTGTGGCTGGGACTGACGTTCTACCATGTCCCAATGACCAAGCAGTATGGCTACGTCTACTTTGGCACCGGTGAGAAGAACTTAGATCTGCCCTTCATGCTGTGACTCTCCTGTCTGGGACGAGGACTGGAGAAAACATTTAGATTTTATACTTACGAGGTTTTTGTTTACTGCTTGTTCTAATAAATGTTTGAAACCTCTGCACTTTGAGCAGGATTCTTCTGTGCCTGGACTCCAGCCCTGATTCTTTTCCTAGGACTTCAGTGTGTGCTATCTTCCCTCAACTCCAGATTGAATTCCCTGTAATGTGTCACTGCAGATCCTTTAGATAGTAACAAATGACATTTTGTTCCATGATGGGTGAAGCCCTAGGTCAGAAATCAAACCTAGGCCATCTGTCTGATTACAAAGACACCATGCTTACACAAAAACTAATTTGGAGACAACATGAATGAATGCCTGCTGTCACCCATGAATGACAAAACAAAAACAGAACTGGAGTCAGAGTAGAAAACTGATGCATACTGTAAGGGATCAGTACTAAACCCTGAACTCTAGAAAGGCATATTGAAGAGAGTATTTAGTTTTTCAGATGTTAGGTTTCACCAAAATTAGAGGGGTCTTTCCAGCTCACGGCACTAAACTGTAGAAAGAAAATTAACTGTGGGCATCACCTGGTCTTTCGCAAAATCTGCTCGTTCAGGTTCATCTCAAGGCAATGGTTTAATCCAGTGACTTTTGTCACTAGTAAAGCTCACTGAGCAGAGCTACCTGGGCTAGAAGACATAGTAACTTCTGTACGTAAGAGAAGAAAGAAAAATTTTTTCCTTTCTGAAGGGCTGTAGGTTTCAAAGCTTCACAAAATAGAGATGGTCAGCGAAAGATTTTCTCTCAGTATAGTTAATGAAGTCTTGGCTCTGTCCCCCAAAGCAAAAAGATCTTGGCCAGCTCAAGGGGCTGAATGTAGGGCTTCCATTTCACAAAGTAAGGCTAGAAAGAACCATTATAATCTAATTTGATTTCCTGGGTAATATGGGTTTTTATCCTTACTTTTTGTTCCTGTTCATGCTGATAGGTATTAGCAGATGATTCTGATGAAAGCAGTACAAGGTTAAGTGGCACAGTAGTACATAAAAAAGCTGTGTTGATTTGTAGCCCCCGGATAAGTATCAAAGAAATGGAGCCAAAGCAATAATGACCCTGATAAATGTAATGAGCCTTTCATACCAGGCCCATAAGTAGCACTTCTCAAGTAGCAGTGGTCAGTAGGTGGAAGGTACATACATGTACTGTACAGGGAGAGAAATGGTGCCACCTTTTAGTTACAGGATGGAAAATTATGCACATCTATCAGCCTCAAACTATCCCAGGAAGCAGCCATATCACTGACACGGAAGACTTATGGCAAATGTATTTGCAAGGGGAAAAAACCAGGCCAAGTCATCAAGGGTGTCAACATTCTGTATTTGCTAGATCCAAGAGTGAAGCACAAGCCAGGAATCCTTAAGGGGACATGTAATACACACACACGCCTGACCGCCACTGCCACAGGTGTTCTGCTGCAAATTATGTGTAGTAGATTACAAAAAAAATTAATTTCAGTAGTCATTAACAATTTCTGTTACTGCCAAGGAAACATAGTGCTGCAGGAGTCTTTTTCTTCAATCAGTATCACAGGTACAAAAGCCCAAATGAGGCAAATCTGAGTTGAAACACACATTAATGGGGAATCACCATTCACTGCTGGAAAAAGAAGGAAACATCCTTTTCCAAACCCAGTCGTGGACCATAATGAAACAAAAGCCTTCAGATCCTTTCTGGCTTTGAGGTAAAAGTCTTTGCCCCCTGCTTTCTCCAAATCATTCTGAACTTTGCTGAAGTTGCATTCTCCTAGAGGAGCAGATCACAGCTCATTCATTGGAGGCAATATAAAGTACTAATGACAGTTTTGGAATAAGAAAATTGGAGATACTGACAAACTTGCCAAAAAAGCAGAACAGTGGAAAACAGCTGTGCTTACTGACTATGCCAGTTCTGGCCACTAGTGGTTTAAATAGAGAGGCTTGTGTGTATATTTGACATTATCCTTCAGCAAAGGGTGTCCGACTGGCATGGGTTTTTTGCACCACTTAGGGCCCCTCTTCCAGATGGGCTTTGCAGATCTGATGGACCAGCGGGTCAGATACCTGTCAAAATAACACAAACACATTTCAGTTTGAGACTGATCACTGAGAAAAGGTTCCAGCTGAAGCAGGAGCAGTCACTGTAGACTTTGCCTCCCCACATGCCTCTTTATTAAAAGGAATAATGGTGAGCAGAGCTCCCTCAATTCAGAAGGGACCACTGAAAAGGAATTTTTGTTTGTTTTGGAACTTCTAAGCTGCATCTCTGTACTGAACCCACTGGCACCTGCTTGACTTCCAGTGTCACAAAACAAATCAGGTGTAGTCTCCAGGCTGCTGGCAAGTTGTCCACCTGTAGCGAAACTGGAGTGCCAAATCCTTCATTGCAACTAATTCCAAGACTGAATGTGTCCAGCCTCTATGGGAGGTGTTATTTCAATAGCTGGCTTCAATAAGGTAAACTAATTACAAAGGCTAAACTCCATGAGAAATAAAGTCTCTAAAAAGGGATTCGTTTACTTTCAGAGGATAATCGGTTATTTCTTCTGCATGGGATGGGTTTCTGGCCTAGTCTTGTATTTTCATATGTCCAAATTTGCTTTAGTATTCTCTGTACAATACCATTGCAGCTTGCTGGTGCAAAGTCAGAACCTACAATGTAAGAGGTACTAGAATGGAATTATCTTCACAACTACAAATCTCTGTGAAGACCAACATCTGGCAAATATCCTCTGCTTTTTACCATTTGAAGTTTTAGACTTGGCTTTGCAAACAGGCGGGGGATTTCAGATCTAGAATCAGTTACTGGAAATCTTACCCTGTGGCTGGGTGGCCTGGAGTTTTGTTAGGCTTTAAATCTTTTGCTACCAGTAGAGAGGGGAATAGAGGTCCTTAGAGAAAGAGGAGTCTTTTCAGACAATAAAGATCCAAAGTAAAAGCCTAGCATAATCTGCACAAACAATGCTCCAACAAATTAGAATTTGGAACAGACTGATAAACTTTGTCCAGCGATGTTTGCATGCCTCCGTTGAGTAATCCCATGGTCTTAATGTAACCTCAATCAGTCATCCTCTCCCCAAACAGCTTTGTTACCTTTTATTTGCATTGTGCAAACTTGAGATATTAAGAACTTTGGACAGAGACCATGTAATGCATTTGTTTGAAGACATTTGGCACATTCCTGAGAACTATAAAGAAAGCTTGCTATGCCAGGCAGCTACAGACTGTATAACAGCAGCCCATTTTCCTAGCACTTCTCTTCTTCAGCAATCCTGAACAGCACAAATTGAAAAATTAATTGCATCTGGAGGTTCCTGCCACTGAAATGGAGCCACTTCCAAAATGCTTTGCTTTTGCTTTGAAGAGTTTATATAGTTAAGACACCTAGAAGCAACAGCAGGAGGGATTTGGGAGACAGTGTAGAGCAAGATCCAGCCACTTGTTCTCCTATGCGTGCATTAAATTAGTCCCTTTTGACCTTTAATGTTATGCTAGTGCATTAGTGGAATCCCTTACATAACAACATCAGGACAGGAAGTAAGAGAGACTCTCCTGTCTCTAATTTCACATGCAAGCGGAGTTCAGAGAGTCCAAACACAGGTCCCCAGTTCGGAATCTGGCAAAGAACCATGGCAAGGCAGAAGAAGCTGTAGGGGTATTTGATGGGCACGTGGGGCTAGGTCTTTCTTTTCACATTCCCCTTGCTGCAGGGGGAGGTCTGTAGTGCAAGTTTTGATATCGCAAGACTGCACTTATAGCGAAGGAGGAAAAAAATCCCAAATTGTTTTACTGCATCAGTGTGCCAAGTGCAGTTCTGGTCATGTGTCCATACGCTTACGGGAAAGTGCTCCCGTGATAATAAATGATCTCACTGGGAGAGAAGTGTATGTGTGAATGTGAGATACGCATCAATGCTGTGTGCAGGTTTAGACAGACAGTGGCTTTTTAAGAAATCCCTCTGTTTCTGTGTGGGGGCTGGAAGTGCACACCCCAATTCTGCATAGGAAGGAGGATTTAGTAATGGCCTGATTTTAAAGCTTTTGTTGTTTCTCTTTTGAGCAGGTCTAATCCAGCCCTCTGGTCCAGGCTTTTGGCTTCCTTTGGGGACTGCAGGCTGGGGCTTTTCATTGTTAGCTGAAACAGACATTTGGACGCTTTCCCTTCCTGGAGCACATTTGCTTTTAGCGCTTTTAATACTTGCTTTGTCCCGAACTCAAACTTGTCCTATTTTGTTTGCTGCCTCTTTTTTTTTTTTTTTTTTCAGCAGTGGCAAAAGCCTGATGCCTGGGAGCAGTCAGTCTACAAAGTTCCTTTTCCTCTTTGACTAACTCCAGTTCCTACTGTTTCACAGACAGATTTTTTTTTTTGCTGAGAGTAAAAACAATCCACAGAACTCACACATGAGAGCTTCAAAGCCCAGCACACAGGACTCTTCTGCAAACTCTGCTGTGCATGTAAGGTAGTGTACCCCCTTTTCTAGCCAAGTCACCCAACTTTCCATTGTATCCAACGACATGGTTTGTCTTGGGGAGTTTTTACAATAACCTACAAACACACACTGGCAGATGGTCTGAATTTTCTCAACCAGCTGAGGGTTGTCAGGACAGAGCCTCCATGTGGATGCCAAATGCAGCTGGTCCACAGTCTCCTAACCTGTTATCTCAGTGTGCAGAGCTCTCTCTCTGGACAAAGGGGGACAGAACTGCCAGTCTCGGGGGCTGGCAACTCACCTTGAGGCTCAGCTTGCCCCCTTCAGTACGGTAGGATCTTGGTCAACAACCAGAATCCTTAGACTCCAGCTGCACAAATGAGTAGTTTGGATAAAGCGTGATGGGAATCCTGGTGGGATTTCCCCGATGGGAAAAGGCAAGATATAAACAGGATGGAAACAACTGTGGTTAGTCACCTGCAGTCATTACAATTGCCTAAAATCTCTGTGGCACGTGGAAGTCCGTTTCCACGGATTTTATTCAGTGAGCAGGAGGGCCCCAAAGCCTTCCCACTCGGAGGCTACCACTTAACGCCTAGGAGTAGGCACAGGGCTTCCATGTGCTGGGTAAGGGAAATGACCTACCCATGGGGCAACTGCAGTCCAGCAGGCAGCCCAAGCAAAGGCCATGTTGGTGCAGTTCAAGGCTGAACTTCTGAACCCTCACTGAACTTTTTCAATCTGGCTTTTGTTTGCATTAAGAGCAGAAGGCAGAGGGCTACAGACTGCAGGAAGCACTCGATCAAAGTGCTGGCAAGATTGCCTCCTCCCTGCCACATCCCTTTCCATGACACCTCTTGGCTTTGCTCACCTGCAGCCGCTCTGGCTCTTTGCTTTTGAGTTCACATGCTATGCACAGCACAGTTTCCATGCAGATGAGAGAAACCACATGCTGCTGGAGTGAAATGCTGATAGCAGTGAAACCAGATTCTGCTCCCAGGGACAAGAGGTGTTCACAGAGCCTGAGAACTTTGTAATTCATGAGGAGCTCATATGGAACCTGCCTCTTTCCTAACACATAGCAACTTCTTCAGTTCAGGTGATGGAGAAGAAACTGACTTAGATATTATCTGTGCCAAGTTCTGTTCTTCCAGTAGGGAGCTGAAAATGGAGTGGCAGCTGAGCACTTAAAATCAAGTACTCCATAATCTACAGCACCTCTTGCTGACAGCCCAGGCTCAGGGAACATGTGACATCCCTTAGTCCTTTTGGAAGGGGAACAACATCACAGTGTTGTGCTTTAACCTTGGACCTGCCAGAAGAAAATGAGTGCTATATTCACATTAAGAGAGCATCTAGGTGCTGGCCTGAACTCAGTGACTGTTCTGGATAGAGTGTCAGCCCACAATATCCATGTGACAACTTCCATGCTGGAAAGAAAACTGCTGAGCTATTTAGGTTTCCATTCCTGAAAGCAAGCATAGAATTTTGACCTGCAGCTGTGCTTGACAATTTCCCAAATGGTTCTGGTGTGTTGTGGCCTGCACACACATGAATTTGGACTATAAGAACAGTCTGTCACTCTGCACGGTGCTGATGAAATCCCTGAGAATTTCCTTGGCCTCATGGGCTAGTGAAAATATTTTGTTTCTGCAGCACTTAACTGGAACATGCCAGGCTGGAGCACAAATGGACGCAGAAATAACAGCAGGAAGTTATGAAAGGGAGAATTCAGGCTGAGGATGAGGGAACAATCCTTGGCTGCAAGACAAATTTGCTTGTGGAACCATTCCTTGGAAACAGTGAAAGCCCCAGACTGCACCAAACATGAGAAAATGAACTGTAGGGAGTAATTCTGCATTGACGGGGGGTAAACTTCATTGGTTTTCCATGTCCAAGTTCTGCAGGCAAATGATACGGAAGAGAAGGGGATAACAGTAGACTCAAAAGTTTATGGATGATGTGGATACTCCAATGGCCATATTTCTTCAAAAGCACCCATAGCTAGTAAAGCAGTTAAATGATAACATTCATGAGCTATCGCTGTCAAAAACAAATCAGGCAGAAAGCAAAAAGGCAAAGAACTAAAGTCCAAGAAATGAGAAATATCATGGTAAGTCTCACCTGGTCAGTGTCCCAACTGCAGGGGGTAGAAGCGAGAGCTGTGGAACGCTCACCAGTTGAATTCTGACCATAAGGTGTACTCACCTACCACCCCCAGGACCACACAGCTTGGCTCAAATTGACATTTCACTTTCACATTATACCTTCTTCTGCAGTTCCCAATCTCCTCCTCTACATTCCATTACATCCTGGATGGGTGATCCCATACTGTGCTAGACAGTTGGATGACCAAGAACAAGGCGGGATCTGCAGGCCACTACTTCCCAAAGCATTCTGTTCTTCCTCTTGCATTCCAGTAGTAGAAACAGGATCAGGAGATAGGGTGGTAGGGGGAGGCCAGCTGCCAAGTGACCCAGTGCAAAGCAAGGAAATTCTTACCTCTCTGCAGAGAAATCTGGGGCATGTAGGAGGGAATGTCTGAAGTTTGTACAATGGAGACAATAAAACCACTTCAGAAAATAGAGCAGGGATTCTGCTTTTTGGAAAACATAATTGAGTAAGCACCGCAAGAGCACCTTCTGGAGGGGCAGAGCAGGCAGAGGCATTCTGGATGATAAATCCACACTTCATATCACTAGATCGACGGCAGGGCAGTACCCTTGACCTTTGTTAAAATAAGATAGTTTGCTGACAATTCCATACGGTGGCATGTTACATTTTAATCTCAGCTAGGTGATAGCCAGTGCATGCCAGACACTTTGTATTTGAAGCAGGCTCACTTTAAACAGGGTGACCGTGACATAGGCCAAACATTCTGGCCAAGATAGCCACAAGTGCAGCCAAGGAAAAGCTGAGGAGCAGCTTTTCTGGTGCTCTCAAAAATATACATTAACAATGCTCAGCCCTTCTTTATGTACTTCCTTAGCACCTTTGCCCAGGAGCCATAGAGCTCCTCCTATGCAGCTGGCCTGTACATCATCTCAGGGGCAAAGAGCAGAGACAAAGCAGTTTTTCATCAGGCTGGTTTGTCCCTCTTTCGGCAGCAGATGAAGCTGCTTTCAAAAATACTGACACAACCTTGGAAGAAGCCTGGCCAAAGGGAACGTCAACCAGAACTTTGCAAGACTGGAGAGAAATGAAAGGGATTGCTCATCCAAATGAAGTAATCTGCCAGACTTCTGCCAGGCAGGGGTTGCTGCTCTGAGTCTATGGAACATCCACAGAGTCTACATGCAGAAAGTGAATGCTCAAGTCTGTATTATGGTAGAGGTGCTGAGCTCTGACTCCCACTTCAAGTTACACTCCCCACAATGAATCTCCTTCAATCTCAGGTGGTGTGAATAAAATCAGTCCCTAAGGTTATCTTGGGCTTTCATCTTGGTCCTGTCACTCTAGCAGCTGATGGTATAGTCTAATGTCAAGAGCTCTTCCATCAGCAAAACACTTTTCAGCTCAGCATAAGATTTTCTGTCCCCAGGTGGTAGGAATTCTCACAGAAGTATCTGGGGTAATATCTGGAGTAGACAATGACTTCTTAGAAGCCCCTCCTTTAAAAAAGTGAAAGATTTCTCAATTCAGAGTGAAGAGTAGACAACAGACTGCTTACGGGGGGCAATGAGAAGAATTTTAGGGCAGAAGGGGTGAGCACACAGAAGTACAGATAAGACTCAGAGAAATGCTGTCCTTCAGCAAGGCAAAGCTTATTGTAACAGTCTTGAGACAGACTATATGCCTCTATGGTGCTCTGTCTATTCTTTTCATCTTGAATCTTCCTATTTTAAAACAGTATAGCAGGAACTGTCTTCCATATGCAAGGCTTTCTTCCATGTGCAGTGCAAGCTCCTGATGGCAAGAGAATAAGTGCAGATGAGCGAGGGGGAGAGACTGCAGGAATGGAGTACATGTGACTGGGAATGGACTAAATTCTCAGTATACTGGATACTACTAGCCCACCTGTGAGAACTATCCATCTCAGTTTGCAGCCCTGACACAAGTTTGTCTCGTCTTTGTTTGCTGGCTTGTTTCCCCATGACTACTTTCTTTTGACCAAGGAGGACCAGACTGCTGCAGAGCCAAGCAAGTGATGCCTCTTTCAGCTTTGCAAGCATCAGTGCACAGCAATGGGCAAGCTGCTGTGCCAGGATCCCTGGTTCCTTCACAGATCAGGTTAAAAGTCCCTCAAGCAGCTGGTGGCAATTCAATAGCTCCAGCATCTACAACATGGGCACTTCAGTCTGCTCCTGAAGTGTGGCTGGTGAGTGTTATTTTGGAGGGGATGGGGTGCAGAAGAGCATATTTCAACACAACAGTCAGAGTAGACCCACTGGTAAAGCACGGAAAAAGCCATCACTGCAGGCAGAGCTGGAGAGCACAAGGGCTGGTTAAACTGATGTTAAGGAATGTACATTACTTGTGTTCCTGTCTTGGAAGAGCTTTAACAAGGGGCCCAAGTGTATTATGGGGCACCTCAGTTTCTCCTCATTGGCATTCCCAGGGCTACAGCAGCAGTGCAAAAAGGCACTGTTACCACTTATTTAAGCAGAGAGGTGAAGACGACTATAACAGGCAATACAGTGATCTCAAGAAGAGCTGAAGGTCAAGGATTTGGAAAATACATCACTTAACTGTGCAATGTACTGCCTGCTATGATAGGATCTCTGTACATTATGGACTGACACTTAAAAACCCAGCAGACACAAACGCAGTGAAAGTACAGGCTATGTTAGGTGCACAGCCCTGATATTACACCAGACAGGATTAGAGGATGACCTGGTCATGTTCTCATGGCACTGAACAAGGCAGCTTGTTCCACTCAAAAGTCCCAGCCCAATTCTGCCCCTGTCCTCCCCTGCCAGCTCACTTGCATTTGGCAGCACCAGTGGTTGAGTGCTTCCCAAATAACTACAGACTTACAGAAAGCTTTAGAAACAAGTACAGAGGCAAAGATAAGGTAAGCTTGGAAAAGTCATTTATGTGGGAAATGTGGTAATAGCTCTGGCTTCATTCCCAAAATAAGTAGTGGCTGAATGTCTTCAGCATGTGGGTACCCTTCAGTCCTCCTTTCAGGCTAGAGGAAGGAAGCAATTTATACCTCATGCCTTATGTAGTGCCATCTACTGCTCCAGCAAGCAACGCAGGAAGCGCAGGTGGGGGTACACACAGTCAAAACTCTCACAGAACCGCAATGGCCAAGATTTTGCAAGGCTCCAACATGCAGAGCTTTCCCCTTCCAGCAGGCTGAGGAGACAATATTGTGAGGGACCAAGGGAGCACTCCTAAAGTACCCCTGCAGTCTTATGCTGGCTCTGGGACTCACTTGGTTCCTTCCAGCCCCACCACTGAAACTTTCAATCCAGTTTCTTGATCCTATTCTCTTGTCTCCACCCAGACCCCAAAGCCTGCCTATTTCAATGCTGTTCCATCTCCTCAGCAACAGCTCTGCTCTCTTTTTCTAAACTCTGCTTCCACCCTGCTTGCTACGTTCCCTTGCTGGGAGGAAAAAAACAAGGGTGGTGTAGGGAGGGACTAGCAATGCAATAGGGAGGGCTTGGATACTAATCTCCAATTTAAATCTCTTAATTTTAGAGATGTAGCACACCTACTTGCATATAGAATGTATCCGGAGGTATCCATTCTTCGTTCTCACTAAAAGTCTATGGAACAATTTATAAGAGTCGAGGCATTAGATCTGGAGTCCTGGTGTGATTCCAGCAAGATACAGGATTTACCATTTCCTGTCTCAACCTGCTATGCGGGGTTGCTATGTGAATGCTAACTAGATAATGTGCTCCACCCCATAGCTGCTAGATAGACACAGCTACTAAAGAATCCCAAAGACTTGTAGGGCACAGGAAAGAAGTAGTTTTCAGAGTCGAAGTATCTGATGGCTACAGGGCTGCATCAAACGTAGAGTCCTCTAATTTGATCCTCACTGATACCCAGTGTGCAGCCTGCCAGTATCCACAGGACATTTCCAAGAGCTTGCTTCAAATCTCTGCTGCAGAGAGTCAGACCTGAAATGCAGGAGTCTCTGGCTGCCCCCAGCCCTGCAGCCTAAGCTCTCCCAGCAACAGCCCCATGGCCTCTGGTAACCCCATGCTTGCTAATGCGAGGTTCATAAACCGCTCTGACATCCCCATGGAAACAGAGTGTGAGGTCATAAACAGGGGATTAGCACCTCCAAGTGCCCAGCACAGCACAGGAGGCGGCCGCAGGCTTCCCCTTTGCCCACCAAAGGCCAGGGGCCATTCAGGCTGGGGAGGGGGAAGAGAGCCTGTTGCACAGGAAGGGCAGGCGGAGGGTAAATCGCTGACTGGGGGAAACAGGGATGGGGCAGAGGGGAACAGGCTTGTGATGGGCCCTTGCTGGCTGCTCAGCCCCCCACTCACTGCTAGTACCCCTCCTCGGCACCCTCCTGCTGTTGGAGGCCAGGCACCAAAAGCCTAGGAGAGAAGGGACTCCTCAGCCTGGAGAAAAGAAGGCTCAGGGGGGTCTTACCAATGTTTATAAATACCTGAAGGGAGGGAGTAAAGAAGACGGGGCCAGGCTCTTACCAGTGGTGCCCAGTGACAGGACAAGAGGCAATGGGCACAAATTGAAACACAAGAAATTCTGTCTGAACATAAGAAAACACTGTCTCACTATGAGGGTGGTTCTTTGGAACAAGCTGCCCAGAGATATTGTGGAAGGTCCATCCTTGGAGATATTCAAAACCTGGCTGGACATAGTCCTGAGTAACCTGCTCTAGGTGACCCTGCTTGAGCAGGGGGCTTGGACTAGACGATCTCCAAAGGCCCCTTCCAACCTCAACTACTCTGTGATGCTGCGACTCCATCTCTGTGGCATCCTCCTGTGACTGCCCTACTGAGTGTTAGTGATGAGGAAGGGAGGGCAAACTAACATGCGTGGCAGTTTTAATCCTCTGTGGATAAATGGTTTGAATAAGATGTGGTTTGTCCTTAGAAGACTGACAAGAGAATATCGTGACAGCCCATCCTTCTCCAAAATGCTATGAGTACTCTTTATGAGCCCTGTTGCCTGAGGCATGATTTACCCAGTTGTAAGGAACTGCTTTTCCTCTTCCAATCTCTTCCTGAAAAAAAGAGATGTGGAAAGACAAGACTATTCACCTGTTGAGCTTGGGTTTTTTGGGAATATGCCCTTCAGGAAGTGGAGGCCTGTGGTTTGGCAACAAACCTGAAACAGAAAAAGAAAGGCGTGAGAATATTTTGCAGTGCCTCCTTGCCTCTATAGCATCCAGAAGTTACATTACACCTCGTAATCCAGGCAATCCAGATCCCTACTGGGACAGCACAGCAAAAACTCAACTCAAGTATAGTAGAAAGGGTATTTTATCTTTAGTCATTGCTGAACCTGCACCCCAGCCAAAGACAAGATAGGAGGTTCTGCTGGGTATAGAGAGGAAATACACACCAAAGACACAGCCACTTGGGCTCATTGAAGAGGCTTTTTGAGAGGGCATAGGGCACTGGTGTCCAATCAGATTCCATCTCCAGGATGAAAATCTGATTATTAAAATTCTCAGTCCATTTAACTTGGATATAACTCAGGTTCCAGGCATAAAGATCAGCACAACACTCTGACTGTGTCAACCTCAGTCCCACTCAGGGTAAAGCAAAAAAGCCTTCACACGGCAGATGGTAGACAGGTGCATGTTATTAACAGAGTAGGTCAAGCTTTTGCTAAATCAAGTAATTTCAGAAGCTGGTATTTAATCATTAGTTACTAGAGACTGAACCACTTCCCAGATCTTTCTGCAACTGTAGACTGATCTACAGGGATAAACGTCTGCTGCCAAGGCAGAAGCCAAGACACATAGAAAGCAAACAAGTAGTCTCTGGTCCATCATCCTGTCCCAGCACTTGGACCATAACGAGTTTGCTGGGTCACTGGACAATGACATCTCACTGAGCTATACTAGTTGGGTGGGAGACACTTCTCAAGGGGTTCTATGGGTACCCCACAGTAAGGGGTTGTCTTAGGAGGAGGCTAGGTACCTGCACGGTGAGCCATCTGCACACAGACAGCAATCTTCTTGTGCTCCTCCAAACAGAGGCCTGTGATCCTTCGTGGCAGCATCCCTCCATCAGAACGGATAAACTGGCTCAGCAGCAAGACATCCTGAGAGAGCAAGAGAAAGGCAAAACCATCAGTGGTACAGCTACTTTAACTGCTGTGATTCTTAGGTGTTGTGCTGACCCTCGCGCTGTGTACAGAACTCAAAACAAAGCAAAACAAAACAATGATTCCTTCCTACGCATTTTGGCTGCAGCCTGACAAGAAGTGGCTTTTGCTTGCCATCACTCCGCCTGCCAGCTTAGCTCAGTAAGGTCACTCAGATGGTCTGAGTCTTCCCCTGACTTCACTAGTGTAAACACATGATGTCAGCTGCAATCCCTGCTACTTCACTGTCACTTGCTCCAAGATTCTGGCTAAGATAATGTGTCCTAGGTACTCAGGCACAGTTACACAAGACCTACAGATGGACAGTGTTTACACAACTTGAAATGCCATCACAGCTGCTATCCTAAAGGTCACAGATATGTTAGATCACCTTTGGCCCCCTCCTTGTTCCCTCAGAGCAGGATTGTTCTCTACTATCTACTCCTCAAACTTTTATCCAGTTTCCCATGGTGGAACTTCCCTCATGTCTCTCTGGAGGGCTGGGGAGCAGGGAAATGGTCCAAGATCTCGCATGAAGAAGCTTTTTGTAAGAAAAGAACGTGTGCTGATGAGAAAGACCTACTAGGATAAATTGGTGCCTTCATTCCTTCGACTGTGCGTGTATGAGGTGGGGCTGTTACAGCCATGCTGCATGGAAGGAGCACTCGGAGCATGCCGAGGGTTCATCCGTGATACAAGAATCATTAAGATTACACTGCTGTTGACCTTTCCAATTAAGAGCTCTAGAAATGTAAAGCACTCTTAACAAAAACAAAATTAAAGGGATCTCTAGGATCAGATAGTATCACAGAGCTGGAATGACAAATTTTTAAACACAGCAGCAACAGCTGTTGCACGAGTGTCCTATTAACTGTACACAGTACAACAGCCCAGTATCTAAATACATGGCTCTCCATTTCCACACAGCACCACTGCAAATGTACCCCTCAGGCCAATATAGGCAGGTCCCCTTGACATGCTGACGTCAGTATAAGTTGGCGCAAAGGGCCTCTGGAGACTCTCTGCTTGTTGTTTCCCCTTCTGTTGATAGACTTGTTGCTAGTTGAGAGTTTACTTCTCCACGGCTGTTATAAACATGTTCATAGTTGAGGTAGCTGGACGACACGGAGGCTGTTGGCAGGCTGGAAGGGACCGGCCAGCGAGCACCCCGACAGAACGAGAATTCAAACCAGGTACATCAGCACTTCACAACCCCCGTGTCCCCATGTCTACGGCAACAGACGAGAACAAAGAGTGCTTGTTGCTTTTCACATTGTGTGATCCTGATTCTGGCTGTTGTTCACAGATTCGCAGACCTGCTCCCATCCCCCTATCTTTGCTCTTTTTCAAAGAGCTCCCTGGAGCATTCCTAGCTTCATTTACTGCCCTTGCAAAAGCAAAAAATCACAAGTGGATATAAAATGAACATTCAGAAAACCTAGCTATCTAGGAATTATACATCCATCCCACTGCACAAGACCAGCTCAGCCCTGAAGGGGCCTGCTGGAATTCAGTATGGCTTTCTGGTAATGACCAGTTCTGACAGATGCTGTCATACAAGCGTTGCAGTCAAAATTTAGAGGTTTTTTGTTTGTTTTGGGTTTTTGTGGTTTGTTTTTGTCCTTCCCCCTCCCCGCCTTCAATCCCACCCTCACTACTATTATCATGACGCACAATTTCCCTCTTCCCTTCTCTGGTTTCCTTTCTACCTCCACTTGTCTACAATGAATGTGTTCAGACTGATTTTCAGATCCAGCTCCTTTGAAAACATGGCAGGTTAGGCAACTTGTCACTGACACAAAATGACATCAACCACCATAGCGAGTGATGTTATATCCAAAGAACAAGAAAAGCACAGCTGAGCAACTAGCAGCAAGCTCCTGAGAGGTCATCTATGGTTAAAATGGAAGTAAAGTGTCCTCAGCCCAGCTAACCCATGGCCTTGCCAATGAGAACAGTAACCAGGGGACCAGTTGGTGCCAGCTGCGTTGGTGGAAACTGGACGGAGGCCAGCCAAACAGTCCAAGGGCACTGACTTTTGGCCACTCCTGAAATGCACTGATTGGATTCAGGAAACCAGAGCAAGACTCCATCCCCTTTTTTCCTCTTCTTTAGCCATCCAGTTCTCCAAATCACCAACAGCTCAATTTACCATTTAGCACAAACATATCACTTCCGTAAGTGAAAAAGGGCTATTCAGCTCCAAGTGTCTAGAAAGTGAAAAACTTTCTAGACTTTTCAACTAGCCTGCTACATTACTCTGTGGGGAAGAGGAAAAAAGGAGCTAATGGCAAGTTTGAGACTGTTCCAGTCTTTGCAGCCGTGAAAGCCTAAGTAGGCCACAGGCTCTTGTGAAGGGTGTGTGTGGTCCAAGTGATTTCTCATATTACCACCACGCCTCATGGAGTCACAGGCTTGTTATCAAGTGTTTCCATTCAAAGTGGGGAGGTGGGAAGCAAAGTCTTTCTTTTTAGCCCTGTGGAAAAAAATCAGGAAAATCCGTTCTCTGTTATCTCTGACCAACAGTGTCACCAACTGACCAACACCCTTGTGTGGCTGTCATTTCTTAACTGAAATCATCTATGTCTGAGCCGCTGCAGCTCCAAATTACACTCATGTCATTTAGCTGAAAATGCTGCACGCTGGACAGAAGGTTTGTCCATTTCTGAAGATCCGCACAGCTAACAGGCCAGGTGCCTCTCCCAGAGTACTCACACAGATGCATCTTACCACAGGAAGAAAGCACACAGGTACAGCCAACTTTATGTGGCAGCTGTGGAGGGAAGCGAACAAGTATGTGGAGCGGTCAAAGAAAAAAATATGTCTGGCAAGTTCTCATGGTGCCGTCATGTTCCATGAAATTCACATTTTGTGCTAGTGGACAGCCAAGCCTGTAACCACGGATTTACTTTAATCACTGGACAGCTCCCACGAGGCTGGACCCAGATTCCCACCCCTGTAATCTGCAGCATTTGATGAAAACAACTTGGATTGAATTAATCTAGGGCTAATAGGCAAAGCTTGCAGTTTGGTTTAGCCTAATTGCTGCCAAAGCAAGATGACATATTTACTGCCTACTCAGACTAATGATGTTTGAAGTGGATAAGGGGGAAAACAAAAAACAAGTTTAGCCTTCACCTCTAAAAGGGCTGGATAAACTTGCTAAACGAAACACTATGTACAGCACGTTCTTGTGAATGGATGGCAACCAAAACAGAGAGGTATCTCTGCATTTTAATATCTGCAGACACTTTGAAAAGCAGGAGCCTTGACTGGTTACATGTGATTCATTAAAACCTTCATTTACTGCACAAAGAGTTCTGTCTGTGTAGCCAAATTACTACTGGGCTGTATCAGACAAGTCTGCCAGTCATTATTTCCAGTTATACAAGAGTCTAGTTTCTCCCTTCTCCTTTACTCCTGGGAGCTGTACACCGTTCTCCCGGCATTTCGTAACAGGATTGCAGGTTTCAATCCAGTTGCATCCTGACAATGACCAAAATAATAAATAATTTTTTATCTCCAATGGATATGAAAAAAATCAACTGAGGTCTCAGTTTCAACGGACAGACACACACAGACCACAAACTGTGGGAATTTATACCTTAGGCTCTGTTATCCCGAGCCTCAGCAGAGACTAAGGACTGAACTGGCAAAGACAACTACAGCCCTCCACACCACAGCTGAGGCAGGTTGGAATCATGATCTGCTAGTGCTCACAATGCCTGTTCAGTTGATTAATAACTTTGGAGACATTGGTCCCCCAGTTCCCTGACAGCCAAAGTAACTCATTATGCCACTACTTTAGACTGTGCTAGTTGCACATGACGAAAGGGAAGTCCTATGAGGTCATATTACTCAGCTCCCTCAGGGGCTAATTCAACACTTCCCTTTTCATAGTGCCTCATTCAGTCCAATTACAAGCGTCCCAAGCAAGAAAGCTCACACTTTCCCTTCTGTGCAACTGACTGATCTCAGCTTATCAATCTCAAAGGAACCCCTGTGATCCATCTATTCTGATCTCTTACCAAGCACACATTATAAGTTATGCTGTATGAACTAGGCTATCTCTCTAACAAAAATAGCTGTCCTCAATTTACAGACTTTTAGGACAATTAACCACCAGTGAGTAAATTGTGCCACTGTTTAATTACTCACACAGTTAAATGCCTGCACTTTATTATTTAAGCATTTCAAGATTCTGCTACTCATCACTGCTGCAGCAAAGAAAAATAGCAGAGAGCGCTTTTGTACAGAAAAGGGAGATTTTATTCACCTTAACATTTAGAAGCCTGAAAATCCATGACTGGTACAAAACATTGAATAAGGGACTTATTCAAGCAGAAGAGGTGGTCTGCTCCAGAACTGAAATTTCTCCTAGTTCTCATCAGCCCTGCAGAGGAACGCTTCTAAATACTGAAGTAAGAACATTCTACAATTCTGAAATACCAGTTCACACTGCCCTCTTTAGCTTTTTGTCCAGGTTCTCCTCTGCTCTGGAGGAGCAGGAGTACAGCAGGAGTACTGATACATATACGCCAGATGCATATGCATTCAAAAACTACACGACAGCCAGGATGGACATGTTCCTAATTTGTCTCTTGGGACCACAATTTCTTAGGAACAATCTCAGCAATGATTCTCAAGACTCTGGCTGCAGGATCTCTCCTCATGTTTGGTTTTCTCTTGCCTCCATACTGAACAATAGAAATCAGGATTTAAGAATCAAACTGAACTGAAGCGTGGAAGAAAACTTGTAATCTTAGTTTACTCTTCAAACACACCTAAGACTCATGCTTTACATTGTCTGTTGGGACCAACAGCCTACTTCTAATCCCAGAACTCTACAGCATCACATTGTCTAAAACTGCTTCTTTGGTTCTTGACAGCACTGTTATCTCTACATGCAACAGAGTCTTCTACCACAGACAACTGTAGAAAGTGAATCTACATAATAATTTCCAAGATTTAATCCGCTCCCATGGCTCATTTCATCCCTGCGCATCAGTTTATAGTTTCTCTGGAGCTGTTAATGTGTGACTTGCGGAACACTTTCTGGGAATCTGTAGAACTACCCAGTTTAATGATGCTGTTGACTCCTTGCATTTAGAAGTCACATAAAACTATATTAACCTTAAGAAAGTATTTTCCAGTGTGATTGGTCTGTTTTGATCACAACACAATTCAGCAACCATGAAGAAGAAAAGAGTTGCAAGAAATCACTATATCCAAACATGGGCAACACAGAACAAACGTGATCTGTTTTTGTAGTACTTTCCATACCTTAATGGTATTTGCCATTTCTCCTAATTTATTATCATCTGCAAATTCATTGTATTTTTAGCTTTCCCAGATTGTTGGAAAACCAGATCAGAGAACACTAAATACTTCCCTCCCCCAACTTATTTCACTGTTTAATATTGCATCCAGCCTGCGTCAGAATCACTGACAACACTCAGGTTAGACAACTAGACAACTTAATTTCTGCAATACAGGCTTTGAAACATACTAAACTGATATTTCATTTACAGCTCACATCTGTTGTTTCACCTGGCTGGAGTAATTGAAAGTATTTTGTCTGGCACTATTTCTATACTCGTATTTTCCATAATTCATGAGTCATAATTAGTCCTATCCAACAGGTTATTTGTTTTTACTCCTAGTTGATACCATTTTACTTGGAATTTGCAACATTTGATTTACCAAGTGGTAATCATCAGCATCATTCTCCTTGCTCTCTCAACTACTTAGTATTTCACTTGCTATTTTCAAACCATTTGGTGATTCCTTAGGTTTTTTTTCATGCTTTAAAAAAATTCTGCAAGTGAAGTAATATATTTGTTAGCTAATTTCCTTAAGATCTTGGGGCTACATGCAATCCAGGCCTGCTGGTCTCTACCTAATTCAATGCTTAAGTTATTTCTGTACCTGTTTTTTCCTGTTGTTTTACATTTGCAAGATTGACATTACTACCTAGATATTAAAACATAATTCTTCTTTTGTGTGTGTGCTAGGACTGCATGTGAGCAACTTGGTCATTCTGCAGCCAACATGGCTTTCAGTCCCCTTTTCTCATTAATGGACTTTCTTTCTCACAAAGATTTCTTTTCTTCCAGATGCATTTGTATCTCTCTCACCCTAATCCTATTGACATTAACTTATTCTGAGTTTTCTGTTGCCTTATCTTAGTAACAGCATGTTCCTGTCTGTTTTTTTTCTTTTCTAATTCCAGTACTGGGTTTTTAGCTTGCAAGGGGGCACTTAGTCCTTTTGTAAACTCTGTGTTTGAATGACCTCTTGTAAAGTTACATTCTGCATTTTCTACTTCATGCTTCTCATTCTAAAGTGTTCTTGACTATTGTGCTTTTGTTTTAAAGCATTACAGGATTTCCCTCCCATCTTCTACATTCAGTGTTAGTAATCCTCTCATTAGTTAATAAACTTCTCATTAGCATTTCCTGCAACAAGCTTGAATGAAACCTATTTTTTCTGTTGCAAGGGATGTAAACACGTATGCTCTCCTTCATACCCTTCAAGAGTTTTAAAAGTTATATAAAACAGTTGTTACCTTAGTGGACAATGACCAATGAGAAACTGTAGTGCTTGAAGACATATAATTGATCTAGTCAAGTCTTTTGGCCTCTCTGGAGTTAGAACAGGCCTGAATCGGTTGACTAAATGTTGCATTCCAGTTTGATTCTCCTGGAAGTGCAATGCTGACAGGGAGCTGGGCACAAAAGAGATATATGGCCTTCTCAGATCAGATGTCCATATGTATAATTCCAAATCTCCTATTTGATATGAGCTCATCCTTCTTTTTCCCAGGAACACCATCAGCCAACGCAAACAATTACTATGTAGGAAGCTCTGGTTACACCCAAGAGAAGCAGAGATGGAGTTAACTATCTTTACTACACCCAGCAAAAGACAAGAAGGGCAGTATGTAGATATGAGAGCAATATTTATCTAGCTATGAGGATGGGGGAACTCTCCTTCATTTAACTTACCACATAATCGTACTTATGCTTCAGGTTCCAGCGACAGATGGGACACTGGCCAGAGGGGTTTGGAGGAGTTGGTGTTTCAGCAGCCTCTATAATTCTCCCTTCAATCTAGGAAACAATTCAGAGGATATAATGATCAGGCATAGTTTAGACTTCTACCTGCACCTGTGACTTAAGGAATACTATTCTTCAAGTCCACAACATGTTTGTTGACCGGTATTGCGCAGATGTAAGGGGAACAGTATCTGCATTATTCAACTCGCTTACATATAGATATACCAAGCACTTTGGATATACACAAACTGTGGGGAAAAGAACAAACTCAAGAGGCATAGAGAACCATTTGGTAAATTCTTGTATATGTTCTGCTAAATGTAAATTAGTTCACAGTTAGCATGAAGTTCTCATATTCACCTGAATTCCATTTATTGCAGTACTCCTTTGAACCACTACACCTTGAAATTGTAGCGGCCCTTTAGCCAAAAGCTCTAAACCACATTTTTTCTGGCAATACGAGAATGTCACAGAATAGCAGATACATGTTGTGGACCAAAACATGCAGGGGCTTGCTAGTATGAATCACCAACAGAGAAAATTCCAAGCAAAAGTTAAATTTATGAAAGGACTGTTAGGAGATGTCTGTGGGTTTGAGGTTTTCTTTTTTTTTTTTTTTTGTTTTGGTTTTTAAGTTTTTTTTTTTTTAAATACACCAATATTTTATCAAGTTTAATTCCCTGAACAATTTCTTTAGGAGATCATTTTATAAACTTTTCTGTATCACTACAAAGTGGTGACATCTAACACTCAAGTTTTCTCAAAAGTAACATGCAAAGAGATGTAGAAGGTATGTGTGGGAAGAACTTGAGAAATTTGTTTTCTAAATGTAGATATGTTAGGAATATGAAGTCTATCTACATGTGCGCTTTTTTTGAGGATTTATGAATAGAAGCAAGAACTATCTCAAATTACAGCTGAACAGACAGAAAAGACGATAAAACTAAGCCATTTTTTTCTCCAAAATATTTTGGAAGTTTCCTCTGGTCAAATCAAGATTAAAACCAGATTTTGAACACCAGCTGACAGCCTCAAATAGCACAAGCACCAGAGAGTTTAAAAAGAAATCCTGGGTGGAATGCAATGTTACTTTTAAGAAAAAAAGCTGACTGATTAGACTGAAATGTCAGGTTCTGTGCCTGAAAACCTGGGAAGAGAAAAGCATGACGTTTTCTGTAAGTTGCATGGGACACTGGCATCCAGCTGAACTGTCAGAACTATTTTATACCATGGATTTCTTATCTAGTGATGACAAAATGGAAACAGGGAACTTATTTGTAGTTCAAGCATCTCAGCACCTCAAAGAGAGAGAGAATATTGTCATTTCTTAAGTAAGATTCCTTTTCCCACAAGTAGAACAGTCAAAACAAAAAACTCACTATGAATATAAAATATATCCCAGTATTTAATTTTCTATTCATTGGTAAAGTTATTTTCTGGGAAGCCGGTGTATCTGGTCTTTATTCTTGCCAGTCTGGCCTCAGACTGTACTTTGACTGTAATTCCATCTTGGAAGTTAATAAAGATTCAGAATGCTATGTCAATATCAATTTTTCTTGAGATAAATTTCAGTGTACAGTTTTTGGCAATTATTCCTCAACTACTGAGGACTTTCATATTGTTAACCCACTTGGTTATTATTCTTCTGTTAGAGAACTAAGAGGGAATATAGGGGCTCTACATTCTTAACATGCTGATGAAATCCAGATTTCTCTGGGATTCATTCATCTGGTTCATGTCAAACACTTCCTTCAATACTGATAAAAGCAAGGACACATAGAAAGATGGATTCAGAAAAGACTGACGTAGAGTTGGTAGGATAAATGGGGTGACCAGAAGATATGCTGAGAAATGTATCAGCCCTTTAGTTGGTCAATTTACATAGTTTGTTACAAGATTTTCCTCATCTAGGGGCACTGATGGATCCTAGATTGATGCTAGGATATTATAGAGTAGAAATATCCAAATCTCCCTTATGCTTCTACAATGGGCCAGGAAGAATTATTTTTCTAAAGGGCTCTGCTACTGTAATGTATACCTTTTCTACTTCAAGCCTCAGTTAATGTATTGGAACTTTGTGATTATAATTTACATCCCCTTTGAAACTGACTGAGTGCAAAGTACAGCAATCCACTGTGTGTGTTGTGTTGGTGTGCACACTCCCCCCTTGCTTTGGTTAAAACAACTTCAGGGCATGCTTGCAAGCTCTTCTCTTCAGGTCTACGGGCAAAGATTAGTAGTATGGTACCTGAAGAGAAGAAAAAGAGACTTTCCATCACACTTACTGTTACACCTTAAACTTATTTTTTTGACGGTCTTAGACATCTTGCTAACTGCCATATTCTATTTGATATTATATATCTAAAATATAAGTAACCTGCTCCATTCAGGTTTCAAACATGACAATGTCCACTAATACAAATACGACAAGAAGGAAACTCAGACTTTCAAAGGCATGAAAAAACAGATTTTGTCTTTTTCATTAGGAAGCAAAAAAGTCTGTCACCTCCTTATTATTTATGTATATATAGATTAGCATTTAGTGCACTGTCTTCTAGCTATTTCCAAATAATTGCTGCTCCACTCTCCTCGTTGTATTTACACGTTGTATTTATCTGTGCTACCTGTCTCCAGTCAAGGCAGATTGCTACTAGCATATGTAACGCGAGCAGAATAATGCAATCTCCTTTCCCCCCCCAGTAATTTCAGTGCTTCTTCTAAAAAATGACAATTCTCTTGATAAAGTACAACGGATCAGATGGTGTTAAGTAAAATTCTAATTCTACTGCTTTGATCTTTTCCTTCCTGTCTTAAACTGTAGCTCAGAAAATGCTCTTTATCAGTTACTTCAGAACTTCTGTTTTCTTTTCAGGAGCAGTTTTCCTTTAGTATTTAAGGTATTCCTTTGACGATATCCCTTTCACTGAAAATTTTTTCTTACACAATGTGTTACAAGATGTAAGCTTTGTATCACCTGTAGTCACTATGGCACACACAGTGATTAACAAACACAACACAGATCAAAGGCAAGCGACGTGCGCGGCACAGAGCCATCACGTTGCCAGCCCAGGATGAAGTGACAAAGCCACTGGGCAAACCTCCTTCGTGCCTGCCCACACTCGAGACGATGCCAAGTGTCACTATGTTAAGAAACAAATACATCTGAAGAACTGTCTCTTGTGTTTTGGGTCCCGAATGCCTCTGGTCAGGGCTTCCAACTTTACCAGAGCTGCAGCAAGGGGTTTGGTGCTCACACGCGGCTCTGACAAGAGGCACCCATCACCAGCAACGATCCTGACTTTTGGCAGCCAAACCCTCCATCCGGCTTACCTGCAATCGCAATGCACTCCTACCTTGGTTTTGCCTTCACACCCTGGGATATGTTTCAGCCAGAAAAGCTACCCTTTTACCCCTTTTTTTTCCTTGGGCGGGGGGG